CTGCCACCATACTGAATCAGGCCCCCTGAATCTCCCGGCTTGTGATGCTCAGGGGAGTGAGCTTCAGCAAGGGGGCAGGAAGCGGCAAGGTGGGGGCAGAGCAGGGCCAGGGCGCGGGGGAAGGGGTGGAGCAGATCTGGGGCCTGCAGCGTGGGGGGCTTGCTCCAGGCCCTGCACCCCGCGAGGGACAGCCCTAGGAGTGAACACTTCCCCATCAATTCTGCCTTCTCAGCCCTGGGACCTCTCAGCCACGCCACTGCCCCGAGGTCGGAGCGGCGGACGGCGCCTAGTGCACATGGACCTGGAGTGCAAAGAAGGGCCTAGAAACGGCCCCTGGTTCGGGGTCTCAGCCTGCAGCACAGCAGGCTCCAGGGGCTGAGCACTCCAGCCAGCTCTGCGCTGTACACCTGGGCCCCGGCTCTCGGGCTCAAGCTGGTCTCAGCAGGGGCCTAGTGCTAAGTCACTGAGTGGGCCCCGCAGCTGCACGCTGACAGCTCTCTGGTGCCAGTGTGTCGTGGGCAGGAACCGGGCGGACACGGCCGACTGGTGTGCGCTTTGCTAGCGTCCCACTCATCCTGGCTTTCTGGGTGGGAGTTTCTGCCTAGACCAGCGCTGGTCCCTCCAGCACAGTCCGTCTGCTGCCCTCTGCAGGGTTTAGAGCCAAGCCGAGGAGGAAAGAGACACACCAAGGCCTGCAGGTCCTGCACTCGTTGCCTTAGCCCTGCCCTTCTGCGGCTGGGCCAGGGGGCAGACCGGCCGGCACTGGGTGGGGGTGGGCCACAGGGAGGGATCACTTGAGACTGCCAGCTCTGGTCCTTCCGAGGCACCTGGCGTTGGCCGTTGCTAGACGGGCTAACGGACCATGGGTCTGGCCCAGTCTGGCCCTTCTCGCAATTGGCGTCCAGCTCTAACGAGTGGAACACGGCCCTCCCAAAGGAGCCATTGGGAGTCTGCTCTACCAAGACACTAAGCTGCTCCCCTCTGCCCCGGCCCTCACCAGCACAGCGTGGCCGAAAGCTCCCTAGCCCTGCAGGAACCTCCGTGTGCAGCTGGCACCAAGGCTGGGGAAGGGCAGATCATTCAGAGGACCGGTCACTGACCAGAGCAAGCTGGAGCGCGAGCTGAGTGACGTGCAAGCAAACCAAACATGTGGCTGCACACCAGCGTATGTGGGAACAATGACTCCGGCCATGCTGACAGACTGGGTCTGTACCCTGGAGAGCAGGGACGCTAAGAGAGATGTGCAGGCCATGCTGGTTAATCAGCAGACCATAGAATCAGAATCATAGAATCATAGAATCATAGAATAATAGGACTGGAAGGGACCTCGAGAGGTCATCGAGTCCAGCCCCCCGCCCTCAAGGCAGGATCAAGCTCCGTCTACACCATCCCTGACAGATGTCTATCTAACCTGTTCTTAAATATCTCCAGAGAGGGAGATTCCACCACCTCCCTTGGCAATTTATTCCAATATTTGACCACCCTGACAGTTAGGAATTTTTTCCTAATGTCCAATCTAAACCTCCCCTGCTGCACTTTAAGCCCATTACTCCTTGTCCTGTCCTCAGAAACCAAGAGGAACAAATTTTCTCCTTCCTCCTTGTGACACCCTTTTAGATATTTGAAAACCGCTATCATGTCCCCCCTTAATCTTCTTTTTTCCAAACTAAACAAGCCCAGTTCATGAAGCCTGGCTTCATAGGTCATGTTCTCTAAACCTTTAATCATTCTTGTCGCTCTTCTCTGTACCCTTTCCAATTTCTCCACATCTTTCTTGAAATGTGGCACCCAGAACTGGACACAGTACTCATTTGAGGCCTAACTAGTGCAGAGTAGAGCGGCAGAATGACTTCACGAGTTTTGCTTACCACACACCTGTTGATACAACCTAGAATCATATTTGCTTTTTTTGCAACAGCATCACACTGTTGACTCATATTCACCTTGTGGTCCACTATGACCCCTAGATCCCTTTCTGCCATGCTCCTTCCTAGACAGTCGCTTCCCGTCTTGTATGTATGGAACTGATTGTTCCTTCCTAAGTGGAGCACTTTGCATTTCTCTTTATTAAACCTCATCCTGTTTACCTCTGACCATTTCTCTAACTTGCTAAGGTCATTTTGAATTATGTCCCTATCCTCCAAAGAAGTCGCAACCCCACCCAGTTTGGTATCATCTGCAAACTTACTAAGCGTACTCTCTATCCCAATATCTACATCATTGATGAAGATATTGAACCGTACGGGTCCCAAAGCAGACCCTTGCGGAACTCCACTTGTTGCCCATGACCTGTCAGTGTGGCACTGTGGCCAGAAACGCTATGAAATTCCCATGCTTACGGATCCAGGAG